GTAGAAGCAACTAGTAATTATCAACAAGATTCGATCAATATACGTACTCGGCCCCCCTATACTCGAATCCTGGCTCCGCCACTGCTGAGGTGGACTGGGTTGTGGACACTCCACAGCCGGTCAAACCAACAGAGCCAATCAGACGTGCAAAAGATGATGATGATGCTTGGGAGAAAAAGAAAAGGGATCATGCTCTAGTGGAGATGTCATATTCCCTCGAAAACCAAAAGTGTCTAACGCCAATAAAAAGTACATGGCTTTCATAAAGAACACAATTGAGAACGCTATTGTGGGCTCAATTGCAGAGTGTACTTCCGTAGGGGAGTTTCTTGAAAAGATGAAGAGCCAGTTCACTGGTTCTTCAAAGATATATTCTACCCAGTTGCTAAAGCAGCTGGTGACAGAAAAGCACACAGGCGGTGGACATGGCATAAGAGAGCACATCCTCAGGATGAGCAACATGGCAGCTAAGCTTAAACCCATGGATGAGGATTTGGAGCTCAAGCCTGCACTCCTTGTTCACTTGGTCATGGCTTCACTGCCAAAAGAGTTTGACACTGTTGTTGTCAACTACAACATGTCGCCTGGAAAATGGGACATTGAAAAGACTGGTCTTTTGGCAGTGAAGCCATGACCAGGTGAACAAGGAGTGCAGGCTTGAGCTCCAAATCCTCATCCATGGGTTTAAGCTTAGCTGCCATGTTGCTCATCCTGAGGATGTGCTCTCTTATGCCATGTCCACCGCCTGTGTGCTTTTCTGTCACCAGCTGCTTTAGCAACTGGGTAGAATATATCTTTGAAGAACCAGTGAACTGGCTCTTCATCTTTTCAAGAAACTCCCCTACGGAAGTACACTCTGCAATTGAGCCCACAATAGCGTTCTCAATTGTGTTCTTTATGAAAGCCATGCACTTTTTATTGGCGTTAGACACTTTTGGTTTCCGAGGGAATATGACATCTCCACTAGAGCATGATCCCTTTTCTTTTTCTCCCAAGCAGCATCATCATCTTTTGCACGTCTGACTAGTCAGACTCTGTTGGTTTGACCGGCTGTTGAGTGTCCACAACCCAGTCCACCTCAGCACAGACAAAAGCCAAGTCAACTTTCTTTCTCCATTCAGTGTAGTTATCACCTCTAAGGGTTGGAACATCTTTGCGGCAACTCATCAAGTGGTACCCTCCTGAAACCACAATGAAGTGAGATCATGACAACAGTTGCATGCTTTAATCCAACGTTGGTCAAAATTAAACATACAACTGTTTATGCAATTAAATCTATATCACCGTTGGGCAAAAGTAGAAATAAACACACCTTTTATAACAATAACAAATCATGATCATGTTATTGACAACGTTGGTCATAAAATAATAGAATCATAATCACTTTAAACATGCTTTTTAAAATTTAATTTCACTTCAGTTCTATTTACTTTTTAAAAGAGCACTTTTATTTAGTTGTAGCGGAAAAAATATGAATAAAAAATTCATGAATTTTTTACTTTTCAGAAGCATTTCTTTTACTTTTCTATTTTCTAAAACAAAATCTCCGTTGGGTAATTTTGAATAGAAAAAAAACTGTGTGAAAATTGCCCAAAAAATGGACAGAAAAACAAATAAAAAAGAAAACGGCAGCTCAGCCGGCCTCGGCCCTACGCCCGCAGCTGCGACCTCGGTCCAGCGCCGGTGCGCGCACCATCGTTGTCGGCCTCTCCTTCCACTTTCAGCCCAAAAGGCCTACGGCGCGTTAGGTTACTGATCGTGGCCGTTGGTTTTGATTGGACGATCACCCGCGCATTCCGGTCGAACAAAACCCACCCCACCGTGCCGCTCGGGGAGACCCTAGTCCATTTCCCCTTTCTCTGCCCCGCTTCGTTTCTCTCCCGCAAGGGCAACGCCCCGCCACCGGCGAGGCTCCGTCTGGCCGCCAGCGATGGCGGCTAATGCCACCGCGCCGCGCCAGCTTCTCTTGCCCTCCCCCTCCTTTCCTCACCACCCGTGGCAGAGAGAGAGAGGCGAGCTGAGCCCTCCTCTGCTCCCCTGTGCGCCCGACGGCGGCTTTCCGATGCGGCGGCGCCCCCCTTGTCCCCCTTGTCGGCGCTTGCGTGCACCCGTAGGTGGGCGCACCGCCGTCAAGCGGTTCAACGGCGGCGCCCTACCGGCGACCGCGTGGCCGTCCGATAAGTGGGACCCATCCTTTCGGCGGTGGCAAAGGCGTAGTGCCCCCCACTGCCCGTGTTCTTCTTCCGAACGGTTCGGCTTGCCGATGCCCATCCGGATCGAGAGGAACGGCGCGGCCTTGTGGTGGCGCTCTTTGCCGGCGAGCTGTTGCTTTTCCTTCTCCCCTCTTTTTTTTGTTTAGGGTTATTGTTTCTCTCGGGAGGGGATCTTTCTTTCTCTGTTTTTCTTTTCTACCGAAAACCATCTAAGCCTAGCAGGCTCTGAAACCATTGATGGAACCTTCGGATCGGGTAGGCTAGATTAGATCGGTAGTATACCTTCTCTTTGACTCGATGAACCCATCGAGGTGGCCATGGTGGAGCTCTGGCGGCGGTGAGTGTGCAGCGGCGGTGAGTGTGCAGCGGCGATGGCGGTGCTTCCCGTTGCTACTGCGGCACCCTAGATCGGTAGGGAATATTGTTGGGGTTGGCGGCTGCGAGACGAACCTTGTTCTGCGTGCCCCGGCCCCCCACCTCTTTATATTGCGCAGCGCGACGGGGGCCCGTCAACCATAGGAGGTTGGGCGCCCCCGATCAGGGCGCGTAATCAAGGGCCCGATAGGCCGTTGGGCCTATGTAGAGGAGATCAACCTAACACAAACTACTTTGCACCTCGTTAGACTAAACACTCTTTGCAGTACCATCTACCAACCCATAGACATAGGAACCATATAGCTTCCTCTTCATGAACTTATATTAGCACGATTTAGACAATCTAAATGGTGTAATAAACAGAAAGAAGTCCTAGTGCTAGAAACACAATGGGTGCTACTGTGCTGCTAATGCACAATAGCACTCCTACAGAGTTCTGAAAATTCTGTAGCACTAGTGCTACAAGCACACTGGGTGCTACCGTGCTACCAATGGTAGCACCTTAAAAAATTATAAACTTTTCCTGAAACACTTATGTGTGTCGACAAGATATATGGTTACAATCCCACAAAATTTCAAATCCAAATTCAAACTACACATGCTTAACTGGAAGTAGTTTGCACCAGTCCCCCTTATATGTATAGAGGTGAACATGAAGAATTGCAGCCAACACACATTTCCAGCATATTTTGTACAAGTGAAGGTATGATGAATTCTCCGCCGTGCAGTTCACACGTGCCGTCAGGAGATACAAAATAAACGGAAATTTGGTACATAACATGACTACAAAATTTCTCAGGGTGCCAAATTGCGGCATGGCACATAGTGGGGTAGAACATCTAGAAGCATAGTGATCCATAGCTTTGGTATGTGTAAGAATATTGGTTATAGTTTTGTAGCAAGAGGAACAGGGCATCTATACCTGGATAGATGGATAATCAAAAAGAAGGCGAGAAGCAACGGATGATGAAGATTTGAGCAACCCAAAATACATCTCGTTCGATGCCCAATTGGCTATTGACTCGTGCATTCTGTATTGCATTGTTAACTTTGTAGTCAGTAGTTCATCGTGCAATGATGAAGCCCTCTCCAATAAAGACATCCCTAGGCCACCTTGCATAGCCTCCCTTGATAATATTACAGGTGCAAGTTGGTGTTGATCACCAGCAAGAATGCATCGCTTTCCCCGTAGTATAGGGATCCAGCATGAGGGTTCAATTGCTTGTCCAGCTTCATCTATAATGACGAGGTCAAAAAAACCAATTTCCTTGATAAGCGGATCAGCTGCCCCTATATTAGTTGATAGGACAACATCAGCATTTGAAAGTACCTCCTTGATTATTTCATTCTCCTTCTTTCTGAAGTTCTTCCCAAGTTTTTTCAGTAGTTGCCGTATTCCTGCAGCTAAAGAATCGTCCTGTATACACTGCTTTAGGTCCTTTCTTAAGTTAGATTTTTTCCTCTGAAACTCTTGTGTGAACTTTGCAAGCCTCCTCTTCACAAGCTCTCCCAAGGACCTTGATGAAACGGACGGGGATATCCTAGCAGGATTTCCAACTCGGACAATGTTAAGCCCAGTACCTGACAATTTCTCCACCATGTTATCAACTGCTGCATTGCTTGGAGCTGTTACAAGAACACGTTCACCCTGTCGGACAGCACAGTCGATGAGATAACTAAGCAAACCAGTCTTGCCTGTACCAGGTGGCCCTTGGATAACTAGGACAGGCCTTTTCTTGTTCAACCCTAGTGCAATAGCCTGTGACTGCGAGGCATCGAAGTCATACTTATACTTCCCCAGTAAACCATTGTCCTGTATTGCTGATGCACCCCAATCAGTCAGGTTACTCTGCTCCAGCATCGTCATGTCTTCCTTGTCCCCAAACAGAGTGGCTACTACCCCAATACAAGCATTTGTTTTCTGCAAACCTTTCCTCTGCAGAAGTATCAGTGCTTCACAATTCCGCTGCCAAATCATAAGCATAGATGAATGAGCTAAAATTCCGGTTTTCAAGATCCTAGATGGAACAGAAGTGTTTGATGGCACAGGAAAAAAAAGGAATTGTACCAAGTGGTTTGAGTGGATGGAAAATTTCCTCCAAAATAAAGTGCAAACCAATCCTTACGAAATGTTCCTAAGGATTCCAATCCTATGAATTTAAACAGCATATGTAGGCAAAATTCCTAAGGATACAAAACCTCCAAAAATCCTATGAAATTCCTTTGAATCACAATAGTGATGCTGAAACAGCAACATAGTTTTACAGGGTTAAAATATAGAAATTAAAAGGACTTACATTGCCATCACATATACCCTTCCTACAAGGATTGACGTATAAGTTTTGCATACCAAAGAATAAAGTTTATGCCAATAAGGATTCATTTCCACTTATGCATTTTTATACTCCATGTTATGTTCAATATCATGAAATTTTATTTCAAAAGGGAAATCTTGTGCTAATAATAAAGTATCAAACGGATGGGGTGATGTGTGCCAGTTTACTGTTAAGTAAAAAATAGGTTGATACTTAGATTGATACTTCTCTGTGAAGGCACAAACATGGCAAACGTCCGAACATGTCTTCGAGGGATATCATCAAAGTATAAGTGACTCAGAGCTGCGTTAAGAAATTGCATGTGTATGATGTGCCACCAACATGAGGAAATGTAAATTATCTTGAAAACAGAATACTATCCGGTGCATGAGCAAAACTGCATTACCTCGTATGTAAGTCCATCAGCCAATGCTTGTATCCTGTCGATCCGCACACTTTTTCCAGAAAACTTGGAGAAGGTAGGATCACCAGGGCGGGATTTCAAAGAAACAGTAATACTACAGCCATCCTCACCAAGATTATGTATAAAGCCTTGCACGCAAGAAGTGCCAACCTCGCCCTGGCTATTGCATGTCCTCACACAAACCATGTCCCCAGGGGAAAGTGTTGATGGAGGCAGTTTATGGGTACCTTCCACTCTAAACAGAACCAAACGTAGGCCTCCCAAGCCTGCACGCAATAAGATATTTAGTTCGATGAGCAGGCCTTATCAATTGTTCATTTTTCACATCATGTAGCAACTTCAAGTATCAGAAACTTCAAGCTAGAAGAATATACATTATTTATCTTTACCTGCATGCTTAAATACATAAGGACCATCAAAAGCATATCTTAATACAGTCTTAACCAATTAGGGGAACACTCGTTGAGACAAACATCATGCCCCTAATGATGCATAATTGAAATTACTAACCCAACTAAGAACATAAAAAAGACATAAGCACACTAACCAGTTGAGGTACTGATAACATTCAAATTGCAAACAGTGTCACACTGCTCTTGTTCTGCCTGACCATGACTCACCAAATACTCGACTGGCTTGAGTGGCTGCTTTGCTGCACTATCCATTGTTGGGGTGGCATTCAACTCTTCCTGGGTGAATTCCAGCTCTGCATCGCGCTCGATGTTTAGAAGGTCTGACATTTTCTTGACAAAGTCTTCAATTTTGGTCTGCATCAGCCTTGTCTTGTCGAGGCTTATGCCAAGGAGATTGTGCATCGCAGGAGCTTTAGGTTTGCGGGCACCTTGTCGGTGCTGGGCAGACTTTGCTGATTTTTTCAGAAGCATCCAGGATTCTGTGGAGCGCCAATCAGAAATAAGGCCCTGGTTCTGGTGTTTCAACAAGACCTCCCGGAGTTCACGTTGGAAGTGGTCAAAGAGGGTGGGGTAGTGGGTGGAGGCTTTCAGGCAGAGAGCTTCATGTCCCTTGGGCATGGGAGTGGCAGCGAGGTAAGGCTGTGCCAGAATCATAAACTCCAGGGTGCCTTCAGATGACCCCCCATCCAATGAGAATGCTGCTCCATCATTCTGCACTTCCGTGGAAGCAAATGTGGAGGCCATTGAGCACATGCCCAGCTTTAGCCATTGCATCACACACCGGCCCAGCTCCTTCCGCCCAAGGGGGTCACCACTTTCATAGGCCTCAGCCATTCTGATGGACACTTCTTCTGCAGATGGTACACGTTCCTTTTCTTCTTTTGCTGTCTCCTTGCTCTTTCTCCTGCTTCTCCTCCTTCCCTTGTTTCTGTTTCCATTACTGCTGGTGCCATTAGGAGTTGTTGAATGAGAATCATCTGGTAATAGTACTTGTTCTGTAGGGCTTGCAGATGGGACCAATCGGAGATGACCTTGATGTAAAGAAGAGATAGGAGCAGAACTAGTGCTGGACAGGAAAGATGGCGATGAAAGTAGCTTCAGTTCACTCCTCCTTAGGTGTAGCACGGTAGCAGAAGAAGAAAATAAGAACCTAAAAGACAGAATATGAAGAGACATGCTCAGCCCAGGAAAACCAGCAATGGAGGCAACACGAAAGAAGAAAAGAAATCACTGCCAGCAGAAGAACTGATTATGCAGATATTAACAAGCAATATGCGAGGTCAGGACTGCAGGTTGCTCACTGATATTTAGCCTGCTTCATGGCCATGCTAGTGACCTGCGAGTTGTGGTGAAGGTAGTGCTACGTGACCTTCAAGGCTTGAAGCCATACATAGATCAGACTATTACTCCAGATTTTAACCACTTCCGTGTCTATTCGCCCTGCTATGTTGCACATCTCTGATGTACACTTTGTTTCCAGCTACTCCTCAAATGCACATATTACTCCCATGGCCTCTGAAGCTCCAAAAAGTTCAGTTCTGATCCACCAACTTCCCCACTTTTCTTTTTTCAATTATCCACTCTACCCAATTGGAAAAACTAGCACCACATGTTAGAAGACCACATATATCCTTCTATACCTGCTGAATTTATAAATCACTTAGCATTCGATTTTTTCAGATACAAACTTGTCTTTCTGAATCTGAGCAGGTAACAAGTTCCTGCTACAGCCCTCTCACCATGGCATCAAGCAAAGTCTGCAGAATCTCAATACCGGGCAGGGGCAGCTTCATTTCCATGTCAAGTTTGTTCTTAGCTGCCTCTGCAGCTTGCTGGCCCATCCCCACCATGCAAAGAACCAGGACAGGACTCTGATATTTGCATGAAAATATTAGCAAACAGAGGTATATGTACAAGTAAAGCCAAGACTTCACTGATATTCTGTGAATTTGGTGCCTTAGCTTGGCTTGTGTACTTGTGGAGATGATGATGCTACGTTGCCTTCTGGCCCAACACATATATATCTGCTGATGGTTAACACGTCTGATTCTTTTCCATCCTGTAGGCACCACCGGGCAGATTGCACAATTTTGCTTGTGTGGCTCTGACCCTCTCTACTTGTCCCTCTCTTTAGTGGTTCCCTTTTTCTCATCCACTCTTCAAACCGGCCAGCCTGGACCAGTCCGTTTGACAAGAGCACCAGATAGCAGGTTTGGGATCCCAAGTTGGTGTACAGCCATCAGCTCCAGGAAAGCTAGCCGATGCCACTTCAGCTTTCTAGGAACTACCAAGCCAAGCCAAACCATGGCAGGGTCAGGAAGACAGTCCAGTGTCTGCCTGATCCACCCCAGCCTTCCTGAGCAGTGCGGCGGTTGTGGGCAACGAAGCTCCGGCCTTGAAAGGTCTGACATGCGGGGTGGTTGCACGGCCTGCGCATTTCGTCGAGCAGGTGGAGCGCGAAGTCGGAGAAGGCATGGGTGCATACGTTCACCGCAGGCGCACACATCAGGGTCGCCGCAGACGCGTGCCGCTTGCGGGAGAGGTGCATGGATCCCCCTTGAGGGCCCGGAAGCAGTAGAGGTGTTGGCCGCACTGAGCCGCGACGGCGCGGCAGTCGAGCAGGTGGTGCGCGTGCATGTCACGCATTGTGCTGCCGCGGGATACGGCGGTGGCGACGACGCCAAAATGTCGGCGAGGCACGGATGTGGTCAGGCGGTCGGCGTGTCGCCGATACCTTGTTCCGATAGGGTGGGCGTGCGCGTGCCTGCGGAGCTTAACGATGCCGGAGTGCTTCAGTTGGTGTGCTTCAGGGCAAAAATAACAAATTTGACCTATGAACGAAATCAAATCATAGAATGAACTGCCCGTAAAGTTATTTCACGCGGCTAACCTTTTTGTGTGACGCCCGACACGAAGGCGCCACACTACACTGTGCAACGCCTCACAGATAGGCGCTATACGTATGGCCAGCGTCGCACCCGTGTGATTCGAAAATTACTAAGTCAGTGTGCAGCGCCTGAGAGCTAGGCGCCACACTATACAGTGTAGCGCCTAGCTTCTAGGCGTTCACTAGTGGTTGCTTCATTTTGTAGTGCAACCACTAGTGCAGCGCGTGAGAGCTAGGTGCCACACTATACAGTGCAGCGCCTAGCTCTTAGGCTCTGCACAATGACTTAGCAATTTTTGGCGGTCTGGGGTGCAACGCTGGCCAGACATATAGCGCCTATGTGTGAGGTGTTGCATAATGTAGTGTGGCGCCTTCGTGTCGGGCGTCACACAAAAAGGTCAGCCGCGTGAAATAGTTTCACGGGCAGTTCATTATGTGATTTGATTTCGTCTACAGGTCAAATTTGTTAAATTTGCCGTGCTTCAGTTGGTCGAGAACTCAAGATGTGGCTGTGTGGAATGATATTAGGAACATCTATGGCGGTTTGGTTGCCTATATACAAGTTGCGATGGAATTTTGACCTACACAAATCTCGAGACCGTAACACTCCAATCGTCGTTTTTTCGGAGTCAGGGTCAACTTACCATATTCGGCAGTCCACCAACTCCTGAAAATCCAAGGATCTACGGAGCGAGGAAACGACTGCTCCCTAATTTTCAACTACAGCTCCGCCTGCTCCGGAAGCGGGGTTGTGGAGTCAGAGGCATTCCGAACAAAGCCTTAGTAATCCAAACCAAATTCAGTCCAATCTATACTAGTACATACCCATTAAACCAATTCATTCCAAACTGTAGGTGCTAGAGTCCAAACCAATCCAAATTATCATATTGTTTAAGCCAAACCAATCCAACTCATTCCTCACATACAGTTTGAACCCAAACTTTTCAAACCATGGACAAAGACAGAAACATAGGAGAGAGAGAGGATGGAGAGGGTAGAGAGAGGAGGCAGGAAAGAGAGATAGAGAAGAGGAGAGGGGAAGGGCCGCCCCTAGAGAGGAACTCTATAATCTACTCGTGAGTGCTTGGAGGCGGGGGTTGGAGCTTTAGCCGCCGCCGGCGCTTGTGATGGTCGAATTTGGTCGCCCGATCCAGTTTTTATCTACGGGTTGAAACGGGCTATGACTGTTTGGTTTTCATCCAGACCAAATCAAGCCGATCTAATATCATTGATAAAGCCCATGCCAAACCAGATTACCACCGGGTCAACCCATTCAATCCAATCCAAGACAAACCAATAGAAAACCAAACTGAAACTAAAGTTTCAGTCCAAACCATTCCCGGGGTAGGAGCAACATTATTTGAAAGAGAATTGCAAAAAATAAATTGGGAGAGATACATTTTTGTATTTACTTTTTTTTCTTCTTCACCATACTAGGTGTGGGTTTAATTAATTTTTCCAAGCTTCTTATTGAAGAGAGTGGTTGGAAAGTAAGCTCCCCCTCATCACGTGATTCATCATGAGGAACAATAGAAGAGAATTGAGAAATATTTTTCTTTTCATTAGTATCCCTAATTGGAAAATTTTTACCAAGTCTATGCTCTCCACAAAAATTGACATGTTTATCAGAGATTTTTTCTTCAAAAATTTTATCATGACTAGTGCAATTATCATTAATTTTATGAATATTTATAAAAAGCATACCAACAATCACTGGCAAAGCGTTGTGGAGGCCAAAGGGGGCCACGGCCCCCTTCCAAAAGTCAAAAACAAAATTTTCTACTACTAAGCATCATGACCTAGGTGCCCAGCACATGAATAGAAAACTTTACTCCCCAGCCCAATGCAGTGATACACTACGTTGTCTCTTCTTTCAACACACGGTCAATCTAAGCCTCGATCGACCGTTTAAGTTTTGCAAAGAATGCAGTTAACATTCATTCAACTCGATCGATCGTAACAGGACACGAAAAATGAGCAAGCTACGGTCTCCAGCTGGAAATGAGAGCTATCTCTGTGCCACTAGCTTAGAAAGAGATGAGCCTGCATGGCCATTCGATCTTTAATTTCTGATAGGCCGGCCAGTCCAACAAGACAAAATCCTAATTTTGACGAGTGATGAAGAAGGGGAGTAACAATACGATGTGGTTGGGACTGCAAATTTCTAGCGCCGGTTTTTTGGTGCTGCTCCTGCAAATCAATCAACCACATTCTAGTTATATCAATTAAACAAAGTCAAATATGAGAAGTAAGAATGATTATTGAATTATCTTTTCAGATAAGATTTATTTATTTTTGTAATTTTACGTTGCGAGACACGCCTGTTTTTGACTTTCCATGCATACTTTTATTTTAGTTTGAACCCCCCCCCCCTAGCTGCTCGTCACTCTCCAGCACTGCTAACAACATTGCAATCATTTAATGAACTCACATCAAACATCATGTTAAATTCTTCTTTTAACACTTCATAGCAATTATCGAAATCCATATTTTCGAGAAAGACTTCACAAAGATAAAGAATTTGATGCAAGGTCACTTCTATTTTTTTGTTGTTTTCTTTTGTAAACCAAAATACTGAATAAACAAGAAACTAAAGATTCAATTGCAATATCTAAAGAGATACCTTCAAGCATTCACCTCCACGACAACAGTGCCAGAAATAACTTGATGTCTACTATACAACTTTATTCTTGTAGACTTTTGGGGGCCTCTAAGCGCAGAGTTTTGTAGAACAACAACAATTTTTTCTCAAGTGGATGACCTAAGATTTATCAATCCGCGAGATGTGTAGGATGAAGGTGGTTCTCTCTCAAGCAACCCTGTAATCAAACACAAGTGTTCTCTTGTGTCCCCAACACACCTAATATAATTTTTATTTGTATAGGTGCACTAGTTCAGCGAAGAGATGATGATAGATGTGTAATATGGATGATGGAAATGGGTTTTTGTAACCTGAATAAATAAAAGCAGCAATGTAGCAAGTAGCAAAAGCGAGCAAAACAGTGTCTCAATGCTTGAAAATAAGCTAAGTGTTCCTACTTTTGCTAGTCACTACTAGAATCCGGATCTTTACCGTCAGCCAGCTCTTTGCCATCGGCTAGCTGACAGCAAAAAAGTTCTTTGCCATCAGCTTAAATATAGCTGACGGCAAAGAATGAGCGGACGACAAAGAAGGTGTTTGCCGTCAGCCTTCTCTTTGCCGTCTGCTAGCTAACGGCATAGAGTCTTTGTCATCTGCTAGCAGACGGCAAAGTTGGTGGATGGTGGACTGTAAGAATGACCTAATGGCCAGTTTCTTTGCCGTCTGCTAGCGGACGACAAAGTTTCTTTGCAGTCAGCCAGCGGACGACAAAGAAACTGGCCGGTTTAACGGCCGTTTCCCCCCGGCTCCACCTCACCTCATCCCCCCCCCTTTCTCTCCCAAACC